GTCCAACTTGCTTGTTTCACAAATGAGGAAATAGAGGCTCAAAGAAGTCATGACTTGTTTAAGATTGAGCAGGTTATTATTAGTGTCTGAGGCAGTGTCCTAGTTTTCCTCTTGTCTGACTGTTTCTTTTCAGTCTCTTGGATGATCTTCATCCAGGTCACTCTGGTGAACCATGGATGTTTTAAAAGCTGTGTCCTAAGATCTTTCTGTTGTCTCCCTTATCCTATTATTTCACTTAGTGATCTCATTGGCTCTCATGGATTCAATGATAATCTCTATGCTGCCTGCTCTCAGATCTCCTTTTCCAGCTGTAATCTTCCAGACTCACATGTAAACTGCCTATTGGACATCTCAAACTAGATGTTCTATAGATAGCTAAAACTCAACATGTCCCACTGTAAATCACAGATTTAGAACTGGAAGGCACCTTAGAATTCAACTAGTGTAACTCCATCATTTTACAGATGAGGAACTGATACCTCAGAAGGTAAGTGACTTACCGAAGATCTTGTAGGTATTTAAGGAGCAAATCTAGGATTTGAACCCAGGTTCTCTGATTGTAAATCCAGTGTTCTTTCCATTTGGCTAATATGTCTTTATGCTATAAGCACTAAAGACATGTTTTTCCCCTTTGTTCCCAATCTTGAAGTTAAAAAAAAATAGAGCTCTTTGTTTTAATTTGATCTTGATAGTTGGATTATATGGTTGTGTTAAAAACTGAGGTGAAATCTGAAGCCATTTATCATTATCATTACCAACATTGACATTTATATATTTCAGAGCTTATAAAATATTTTCTTTATGATCCTGTGAAGATAGGTATTGTTATACCTCATGTTGAGATATGTTTTTAACAAAGACTTTGTCAACTTTTCCACTACCTAATTTTAAAAAATACAATTAATTGATGTCTTCTGTCTTTATATCATAATCATTGGGGAAAGGGACACTCCTCTTCCCTATGAAACTTTACTTTTAACAAAAACAATTAAGCAAAAACCACATAAAGTTGTGTTATCTGGTTTACAGAAAACTGATGTTCAGAGAAGCAGCTTGTAGAAGTAGATAAGATAGTGTCAAAAGAGCACTAGTCTGGAATTCTGAGTATCCCATTATTCTAGTTCTGGATCTTAAATTCAGTTTCACTATTCTCTATGTAACATTGGGTGAGTTGCTTTGTTTCCCTGGGCCTCAGTCTCTTCATTTGTAAAACAAGACAATTGGATTAGATGTCTTTAAGATTCCTTCCAGCTCTAAAATAGGTAAATTAGGGTTGAGTTCATGTTTATACAAAGGATTTCTTAATTCATCCGAGGATGCATCAACTTAGCTTCCATTTTAAACAGTAAATTTCCCTAGAGCACTTAAAGTACAAGTTAATAGGCACTTTTTTCATCACTACCTATTGAGTGAAGCAGGACATACACCTGTCCCAGGTACTTACATTTTCCTACTAGCAGTGTTGTATTCACAGTGTTAAAGCCTCACACCTGTCCTTCCTTTCACACACACTCCACCTCCCTTAGGGGAATCTGGTGGAGGAACTTTTCCAGGTTTTCTTACACTGGTGTGAAATTCATGTGAGTCTAATGGAAGCTCTTGAAGCTTCCACTTTATCCCATTCTCATGAAGATACCTGTTTATTTGTCCTCCCTTGCTGGGTCTGGGTACCTGTTGGCAGTCAACTCTGGACTTGGATTTTCCCTGACTTCATTCTAGATTCTCTCTGGACCCTGATGCTCCCATTAGTCCCATAACAGACCCAGTTTTCCTGGTCTCCTCTACACTCCTCATCCTGGGCTAAAGAGGCTGTACCTCCTTGGCCTACATTCATAGATGGGCCTCAGAGGCCATCTACACCATTCCTCACATGCTTAGATGAGAAAAAAAAAGAAAAAGGAAAAAACGAGGCAGGAAAGTTAAATGATTGGCCCAGGGAACACTAAGTAGTAGGGGCTGTAGGCCACAGAGCCACTTTTTTATTGTGCTCTCTAGATATATTCTGCCATTTTCTGGGTCTTCTCTGTTTTGGTGTTTTGTCCCGGGCTGAGCCAGAACTGACCCTGTGTGTCTCATAACTCAGGGGCCTTCTGCTTTCATCCTAAGGAGATGAGAATTGCCTAGTCATGCAATAAGAGAGGCTTTGTTTCTGGATTGGTAGTTAGATGCTTCTGAACAATTTCCTGCATTAGAGAAGCCCTCTTCCTTTCTATTCTGTTTTCCTCCTTCCCCAAGCCTAAGCTGTACCATCTCCCAGCTGTCTTCTGCATTTGGGTATGTTAAAGATTTGCTTGTGTTTAAAAGCAAAAGCCTTCAGAATGACTGTACCCTTCCAACTCTTGGTGGTCTGGGGAGGATAGGATCAGGCTTTTTAACCAAGCTCTAATACTTCCTCCATTTAGCTGACCACCTCCATCTTTAGTAGTGGTTGGGGGTAATCTCTCAATTTTAAATACTGACCAAAGATACTAAAAGGTTGTTTCTCAAAGTGGGTGAGGAGTGTGTATGAATGTTTAAATGTAACTTATATGAATTGCAGCCTTGTTCCTTGCGATCAGTGTTAAGTAACCAAAGATTAGTTTAGATTCTAGGCCTCTGGGCTCCCCTTTTAATTGACATATCCATGTGTTGTTGCTGGAATGCATGTTCAGTGCTAGAAATAGTGGAGGTAGTTTTTACATCCTAGATAGGTGGTTTGCTGGCTTACAGGGATACTTGTGCCTTTTGTAGTCAGACACAACATTTTCCTGGAGACATAACGAGAACTAGGTTATTCAATCATTTGATCCTTCTTATAGAACAAAATGAATGTGTTGGCTGGCTCCCATCACCTCGTCCTTACCAAATAGAATATTGACTGCTTGATTATCTGGTCCTTCAGAATTGTAAGGACAAGTCTATACAAGGAACATGAAAGAAAGGGTTATTCTCACTTCTTCCACACCCCCCTCCCAACTACAAAAAATGACTAATAGAGAATTAAAGGTAAGTATGAATTTAAATTAAGTTACCTTTTTTGGGGGATAAACAGGTACCTTTCTTCAATTAAAAACAAATGGAACTATTTTGAAAATTACTGTACACTTTTCCCCTGTTCATCTTCACCGTGTTATGGCCACCAAAAAACAAAACCCAAGAAAAACCAACAGTTCTTTGAACACCTCTTGGCTTGTGTTGGAAGATAGTTGAGAAAAACAGTCCTTCAGCCTAGGACATTTTAGGAATCTCCTATCATCATATATCAAGAGCATTCCGTTATAAGTTGTCATAACTCAGAACATAATAGCCTTCTTATATAGCAACTGGGTATTCATGTACTTGATATGAGAAAAGATATGGTAAGAACCAAAGGCAGGTTATAGTGTTAAGGCTGTTAATAGTAAACTATTGAATTAACATAAAAATGACACCTCCACAATTCCATATTGCAATGGAGGAATAAAAGCAAGAGTTGATGTCAGGACTCCCATTTGTAAAGAGTAAACACTATTAAATGATGGCTATGTGTTTTTGAAGAAAGCCAACACCTTTTAGCTCCTCCAAACAGATTTAATAAGATCTTCTGTATTATGCAATCTTTGTGTTCACAAAAAAGCTGTTTTTCTTTGTTATCAACCTAGTTGGTCTCTAGAAAAACAATTGTTTACACACCTCTGTCTGGTTTTCATGTGATTGATCTTTGTTGGAAATATGAGCAGCCTTTTCAAAATTTTAATTCTGGTTTTAAGCCATTGTTCAAGGCTAATACGTTCAAAATAAAAAGAATCAGATTTCAGACCTGAGTAGGAAAATTTGCATTGTGACTTAACATTAACTGGAGACATTTTTGCTTTAAAACAGCCACTGAACAATGAGGGAGTATAAAGAGGAATTATAATTGCCTAGTCAGTCATAGATTATGACTTCATCATCATAACATCAGTTTTTTTTTATTCGTCTTGACTGCCAAGAGCGACTGCTCATTGTGAGAACTTAATTGCTTTTGTGTAGTAAGGAGAAACACCATTTGATTGATCATTTAGCATTTGGGATCAGTAGTTGAGTGAATAAACACAGATCAAGTTCTATTGAAAACGAGGTGAAAACAGCAATTTGAAAACATTAATTACATTGGGTACACGCACGGAAGCAGAAAATAACTTGTAAGCTGAAATGGGCATTCTCTCAGATCTTTGGGATTGTGGTTATGTTTGTGAATGTGAGGCTAGGTTCTTTGCGCCATCTAGTGGTCATTACACCTACACCGTCCACAGAAAAACAATTTTTTTTTTTGTTTCAAAATAACTATTCGTGGGGGGGTTCCAAAAATTGCACCATGTTAAAGCAAGGCTTTAAGAGATGCGTGTGTGTTGTGTAGGCGTTAGCAGTACTGTCCTCACTAGACGCTCATTGGGCAGTAACGCAACCCCAAGAAAAGGATGGTTGGGAAAAGAGTTCCCTTGTCCTCAAGTGAGGAGGAGCGAACGCCAGGTTACCTTGTGGTGACTAACTCGCTGTGCAAGTCCATGCTGAGAAGTCACCAAGGAAGCTTCTGTTGACAAAATAACAACTCGAAACATCGGTCCCCCCCCAAGTAGTCGTTTTTAAAGCTTTCCCGGAGCTATACCTGTGTAGATCTTTCTACCCACAATGCAGCGCGCCGCTTAGTTGTTGCTATTTGCATATGCGGCCTATTCAATTCCGAACGGGCCCAGGGCAGGGAACCGCGTCGGAAAAAGATAAGTGTTCTTTCTCTCACCTCCTATCTCGCGTTGGCTTCGCCCGCTTCCCTTTCTCCCTCCCTCCCATTTTCTTCTCCAGCTTTACGTTCCTACCGAGGTTGAGCCCTGTTCTGCCCTGACGGGGGCGGGGCGCGCGTTCTACGCGCTGCAACGGCCGGGCCCGGGAGAGTTGGTGTTCTCGCTGGGGCCGTCAGACGGGCCGGAGCCGCGTCTCCATGAGCGCCGGCTGCCACTGTTCAGTCCGGACCCTAATGTGCCCCCTGGGTTTTTGTGTTGCAGGTCGCGCTTCTGGGGATGGACATCTTGTCGGCCCTGGTGTCTCGGCTGCAGGATCGGTTTAAAGCACAAATCGGCACAGGTGAGGCGAGCGCCCCCCGGCCACGCCCCCGCCCCGCCCCCTCTCCTCCCCAGACCCCGCCCCTCCCTTCCCCTCCCTCGGCTCCGCCTCTGCCCATTCCTAGCACGCTGCCCAAAGCGCCCCTCCTTCCTGTCCCCACCCCCGCCTCGCCTCTTTGCCGCTGTCCCGCCGCCCCCCGCGCGCGTACGAGCTCCCTCTGCTGGCCGGCGGGTCTTGCTGCCATTCTCCGAAGCAGCTCAGCCTCCGCGCTGGAGCCCTTGTTTCTGATAAATAAAGGCTATCTTATGGAAAAGGCAAAGTACGGGTCAGCCGCCGGTGAATGCCAGCAGCTATTTCATCTGCTTTGTGGTTAGCCAGTAACTCTAGTTAGCCCCTAGGTATTGGGCAGGGGCGGGGAGATCCTACAGCAATACCTCCAATCTGAGAAAAGCCATCCATTGCTGACTTTAAACGTTTATACGTTAGTATAAAAGCAATTATTTTTAATATTAATTTTCATTTCATTTGTGCATAGAATTTCAGGTGATTTTAAAGGCCATCTGTTTTGAGTTTACAGGTGGAAATGAAAACTGTTTCATACAGAATCCTTTCCAGTCTGTACAAAGCTTTTATCAAATATCTTCTACCTGCTCTACTTACTCTGTGCTAAGCTTTCTGGGAATACAAAGGCTAAAGGAAAAGCAGTCAGCTAACATGGTGGGAAGGGAAAGGGGAGGAAGAAATACAACATGTGACAAATATTTAGTGTAATTTGGGCAGGTAGTGAATGAAAATAAAAAGGTTGACAAGATGAAAATGCCTCATTAAAAATCAAAAACAAAGAAGAGCCACAAACATTCATAGGAACATAGTGGAAGAGAGGCTCAAGGCCACTCTAGTCCAGATTCATTTTACAGTTAAAGTAATTGAAACCTGCGAAAGTGAAAGGATTTACCCAAGGTCACATAACTAGCATGTAGCAGAGGTAGCATTCAGACCTAGCTGTTTCTGACTCCCAGGCTAGCTTTTTCTTCATCACTGCAGTCCTGGGACTTGAATCTAAATCCTCCAATCTGATAGTTTTGGGATGCATTTTAAAACTTATTTTCCACACACCTGGGAAAATAAGATGATTCTCCTTAATACAGTCTTGATTTTGGCTGGTAGGGTAATGATTACATGTACATATTGTTTTGATATTCCTTTGGTCGAAGTTTTGAACATTTTTTCCTTACCCAGTTGGTGTATGGTGCCTTTGACTTACTTTAGAAAGAGCTTTTACAAAGTGATAAATTTTTTATTAATATAGCTTATTTTCCTAGAGTAGTTTATTTCAGGGTAAAATAAATTTTGTTTCACAAAGAATCTTTAGCTTAGTCTTGAATATTCAGAGGCAACCTAGGTGCCATTCAGGCATAAAAGGCTATTTCTCACTTATTCAAGGGAAAGATAATTAACAGTTGGTGTAGTTAGAATCTTGGTCTTCTAGTCAGAAAGACCTGAGTTCATTTGTTTTTTTTTTGTGGTCACGGGCAATCATTTAACTTCTCCTAGGTTGCATTTCCTTATCTTTAAAAATCAAGTGGCGTAGAACTATGCTCCTGTGATGCACTGAATACATTACAGAGCTAGCATTTTTTGTTGGATTTATGGAGGACTCCAATAGAGCCCCTGCTGTGGAGGAAGAGAGAAACACCACTGGGTTGTCATGACATGACCTCTAGGCTGAGGAGACTGATTTTACTAATGTATTTGCTTCCTCTAATCACTTGCCCCTCTCCTTGTTACTTAGGCAAAGGTGGTACTGGGGGGCCAAAATGACTTGTTTCCCTTGTTTTGATTTTACACTCTTTCTAAAACTTGTATTTTAACTTGAATTCATCTTTGTGAAAGTGATCTCTGCTTCATAGAAATTGAAAGAGTTTATTAAACTTGGTCATTTTTCTGATGGAACTATTTCCTTAAGGGCACAATAATTCACACATTCTCTCTAGATTGAAATTTTTGTGTTATCTTTGTTTCTTTTTTCCCAAATCGCTCATCTCTTGTACCTGTTGCCCCTTTTCTTCCCCCTTTACCTTTACCACTATCCTAGGATAAACCCTCACTACTATTGTGATGTTGACTGCAATGGTTGCTGGCACAGGTCTTTTTACCTCTTTTTATTTTCAGTCCATCCTTCATACTATATGAAACTTTTCCTGATTTCCCCCTAGTTTTTAGAGCCCCCATTCTCCTCAAATTATGTTGTATTTGTTTAAATGGTGTTTCTTCCCTGTAAAATATAAATTCTTTGAAGGTAGGTATTGTTTTTGTTTTGTCATCTTCAAAACCTTGTGTATAGTAGAGGCTTGACAGAGATTTGTTGTTGAATTTGATTCAGTACTCCTGCTAAAATAATCTTGTTTATGCCTGGATCTGTCTGGTCATTTCAGTCCTTTATACAAATATCTTTAGTGGTTCCCTATTTCTTGTCAAATAAAATTTAGATTTTGTTTGGCATTTTAGATCTTCCCTTCCCCCCCTTTCCATCATCAGATCTAATACCTTGTATGGCTTATACCATGCTACTCCTTCAGTCCTGTATTTTAATCTCCAGACAGTGAACTGTCTGTTACCCAAGAATGTTTACTACTTTTTTTTAAAACCTCCTTTTTACCCAATTATCCTTGTAATATATGACCCTCTTCACTTGTTGAATTTCTTGTTTGTTCTTTAAGGGCCAACTTGGAGAAGTCCTTCCTGAATTTCCAACTCCGTCTGGCCTCCCTTCTTCCTCCCATAATATCTTTGTACTTAGAATCCAACAATTATGTGATTGTTAGTTTGTCCTGTAATGATCTTTGTATAATAAGGCAGCATGGGGCAGTAAAAGAGCCCTGGAGTCAGGAGATCTGATCTGAGGAGATCTGAGACTGTAGGCCAATCCCTTCACTTCTCTGAGACACAGTTTCCTTATCTATAAAAATGGAGCTCAACTTGTAATGTCAGTGATATTGGGAGCTGCTTTCTCTTTCTGCAAAGAATATTGGTGCCTTCTGTCTGACTTACAGCGTTGGAATTGCTGGGGGCCCTAACAGGTTAAGTGAGGTGTCCAGGGCCACACAGATAGTAAATATGCTGGAGATGGGACTTCTTGGTTCAGAGGACAGCTCTTACACATTGTCCCACCCTGCCTCACTGGAGAGAATAACTGTATTACCCATCTCTCACCATTTCACCATTGTTGTCAGGAAAGGACTTGGTAAACATTTTAAAAATTAATATTAGTGATGGCTTGCATTTCTTTGGAACTTTCAAGTTTAGCAAGGGATGTGTGTATGTGTGAAATACTTCCTTATTTGATCCTCAACACGTGAGTTCTTTTAAATGTGAGTTGTTTTCATCTTTGCCCTCATCTAGCCTAGCATGATGTGCTTGCTGCAGGGCAATAGGTGCTTGAAATTCAGTGAATTTAATTGGTGACCACACCTACAAAACTCCTTTTGATTGGATTAATTTTCATTTTGCTTTTAGTGCTACCCAGTCTAATTGACAGGTTGGGCGATGCTAAAGATTCGGTGAGAGAGCAAGACCAGACTCTGCTGCTGAAGATGATGGAACAAGCTGCCAACCCTCAGGTATGATTAGGCAGAGCCTCCTTGCTGCGCAGCAGCCGACTCACCTAAGACCGTGGAAAAGCAGACTTCATTGTGGAAATCCAGAGTAGTAGAAATATGCTTGTTAAACTATTGCTTTACCTTCTACTCTGCTTCCCATTGCAGTTAAGGTATCTAAAGCAATATTAATGAGGTACAAAGTGTACAATTTGGATAGTTAGTAGAGTTAACATCCATGTCAACTGCTTTTTGTTAGAAGGTTTTAGATTTGCTCAATGTTGGGAGGGATTTAAAAGAATTAAATGAGTTCACCTGGGCCTAGAAAATAAGTTGTTACCAACAGAGTGACCCATTCTCTTGTTACCTGCTGTTTGCTTAGTTTATCTTTTTACCTGTAGGTGAAGGGGGGGAAAATGTCTAATTTCCTCTGGTTCTTTTCAACTTTCCATGTCTTTTGCAGTATGTGTGGGACAGAATGTTAGGAGGTTTCAAACACAAGAATTTCCGCACCAGGGAAGGTGTTTGTCTCTGCCTTATTGCAACACTGAATGCGTAAGTTTGGGCCTGATTCATGCTTCTCTTTGTAGAACATGGTGAGCTTTCAAGAAATACATTCATTCGGTCATTCAACAAGTATATGCAAAAGCCCTGTGCTTGGTGTTGTATCCCCTATAAACTCATAAAAAGTATTATAAAATATAGTCCCTTGAAATTAATAATGATAGGTAATTAGGGCTTATAAAAAGGGAAGCACTTAAGTATCAAGTATATTAAGTGCTGTGTTAAATCCAATGAAAGCAGCTGTGTGCTTTCGGGGAAAGTCCCAAAAACTTTATGGACAGCTGTGGGGGCTGGAGTTGTGTCTTCAAAGGATGGGTATCGGTGTAGACTGAGAGGAAAGGGGAGGGGAGAGGTATTTTTTCCAACCCTTCCTATTGCCCGCACTAATGTGTGCTTTTGTTTTCAGCTCTGGAGCCCATACTTTAACGCTAAGTAAGATTGTGCCACATATATGTAATTTGCTTGGAGATCCAAATGGCCAGGTAAGTTTAACATGAAGAAACATTGGGGTGAAACATAACCGTCTTAGAAAGTTTACATAATTTTGGTATGCTGACTGTACTTGATAGGATTTATTTGAACTCTCTTTTTTGTCCACAGTACTGATTTATTAGCAATATTTATGAGGTGCTCAGGATAATGTACCATGTATACTGCTGTGCTGTATGTGGTACCAGACTGGTATCTCAGTCCTTGGCTGAATTTCATCCAGACTGCAGAATAATAATATTGTCCTGCCCTCAGTTTCTCTATCTCATAGAAAAATTGCTTCCTTGCAGGGCTGATGATTTCTATCAGCTTATTAACTCTGAACATTTAAAGAAAAAAAGAATAAACTATCTCCCAACAAGTTTGTTCAACAGAATGAAGCCTGCAGTCCTGTTAAGCCACTGTGTGGTTTAGCTTCTCTGGAGTAAATAGCTCAGTACAGTTTCTCTGTGTGGGCTTTCCTTTCTCTGACATTGGCTAGCCTTGTTTTCTCTCTTCCTTTTTCCCTTCTCTCACTCTTTCCTTTTCTGTTCATTGATCTTCGTCAAGTCAGTCAAACTTTGTGGGCTGCAGTATCTTCCTCTGTAAAACCAGGGTGTTAGAGTAGCTGGCCCCAACGGCCAGCTAATTCCAACTCTTTAATCCTGTGTTCTGATGGCTAGATGATCTCTACGTTCCTTTTCAGTTTTGCAGCTATGATCCTGCTCAGTCTCTTCTTCCTTTTTCACTTCTGTCCTCTCTCTCTCTCATACCTTCCCTTTCCCCCCAGCACCTCTTCTTAATAAGACATGTAAATCCAGGTCTTCCTGTTTGTCAGCGCTCTCATACACCAGGCTACTTCTTTTAGGAACCAAATAAGGAGACAAACAGATAGAACCGCCTAATAGTTGGAATGATACACTTAACACCCAAGCTTTAGAGTCTTTTATTTTTCCTTCTCTCTCTCTCTCTCTCTCTCTCTCTCTCTCTCTCTCTCTCTCTCTCTCTCTCTCTCTCTCTCTCTCCTCTCCTCTCTCTCTCTCCTCTCTCTCTCTCTCTCTCTCTCTCTCTCTCTCTCTCTCTCTCTCTCTCCAGTTAATTCTCTCAGCACTTGGATGAATGAAAAAGCAATTATTAAGTGCTTACTCTATTCCAGGAACTGTGCTAGGCATTAGAGATATACATATATAAGCAAGACTTTCTCTGTGTTCAAAGACCTTCCATTCTAATGAGGGAGTAACACTTAGGGTGATGGCAAGAGAAGGGATTGGGGAAATCATAGGAATGACGAGTAAGGCATTAGGTTGTTGTTTTGTGTGTGTTTGTGTGTTTGTTTTGGAAGGGGTTTGGGGAGCACATATCTCAAGATATTTGGATTAAATGCATATGAAACATGGTTGGATCCAGCTGGATGGAGCATGTTAGTTTGCACTCTTTCACTTGCCAGTCACGCTCAGCCCCAGGGCAGAGTTCCAAAGCTGAGTGGATTAAGTCAAACATTTCACCTGAGCTAGGCCAAGGTGTTCTCTGGTATGGAGAGAAGGAGAGGGAGCAAGAAGGGAGAAGATTGGTAGGGCAGAGGCAGGGAAGACTGCAGCTTAATGATTGAGTAAACGGAAATGTCTGTGGCAACTATAAAAATGGCTTAAAAACTCAAGTTGACTTTTTTGCTTGAAGTTCTTTCAGTCTTTATTCTCTACTCTCTCTTCCCTTCTCCATGTCACAAAATGGAATTGAGGAACATTTTTATGTATTTGTTTTATTTATCAAGAACAATTTTTTTCTGTTGTGCTAATTTAGAATATTCTAGATATATCAGTGGTTCTAAAGTCTGGTACATTTAACGTTTTATAAATCATTTGGGGTTTTAAAAAACTTTTTCTTTGTTAGAAGAGAGAGATTTATCGTGAAGATAGCCAGATTTATGAAGTAACTGGTTTTTTAAAAGGTACCAGTAAAACTTCTTAAAAGAAAAGCACGCCCCGTTAGTTACTGTTGTGGTCCAGGGAGATGAAGCAGCTTGCTGAAGATTACACACAGTAAGTAATAGAGCCCACCTGGAAAATAACTCTGATTCTACTATTCCAAAACCTTAGGCTAAGTTACTTTATGTTTTTGAGGCTTAGTATTTTCATCTGTAAAATGATGAGTTTGGAGCATATAGTTTCCAAGGTCCCTTTCAACTTAGATTTAGTGACTTGACTCACTACTTCCATTTTCCTGTAGGGCAGGGGAACAAAAAGGTTCTTACCTTTACCTTGCTGGTGACTTCTGACTTTATTGGAAAGGCTAATGCTATCTGTTGTTAGGAGAGCATATCACTTCAAAATACTCTTTAAAAAATTGTTAAATTCCTACAGTGTTAAGTGTGAAAGACGTAGCCCAGTGTAGTGAATAGTACGTGAGACTTGTGATCAGATCTATGTTCTAACCCTGCCTCATATATTTACTAGCTTGGCAACTCTGGGCAAGTTGCTTAATCTGTTCGTAAGTGATTGGGAAATGTCATTTGAAAATTAGCCACAGATGAACTATGAAGTCATCAGTTCATCTCCCAGTGTTGAGAGTTGATGAGGTGTCAGAAGGTAGGTTCCTTTTTTTCTGGCTCATCAGTGGAATTTGAAGTAGCCATTAACAAAATTCTGTTATAAGATTTCAGTCTGGTCTCTACACAGATGTGGCATACTGGTGAATGTAAATGGTGTCATCAAAGCAGAGTGGTGTTAAGAAGGTACAAAGGGTTCTTAACATTTTTGACTGTCTGAGGAAAGTGTCTGGAGAATCTGCTTGATAGTTTCAGTCTTTTCAGGAGCTAGGATTACCAGTGTTGAGAACAAAAACCAAAATTTGGTAAAGGCATTTTTCTCTCTTCTGGTTTTCTTAATAGTGACTCAGGCTCTGAGACTGTAAGAGCTAAATGGGACTTTAGGAATCTAGTTTAGCTCTGTATTTTACTGGTAAGTAAACTGAGGCCCAGAGCAAGAAGTCGCTCATCCAAGGTCACACAGAGACTTACTGGAGGAACTTGGAATAGAGCTGAGCCTTCCTGACTTCCAGACCAGGGTTCTTTCTATTATGCCCCAGTAGTGCTTTGCACACCATACTTCAAATGGAGCTAGTCCCGTCATGCTTATTAAAGAGTCCCATCAGTGTTGATATTTTTGAAGCATTTGTCCTTCATTTTCTAGGGAAATAGAATTTTAGTTTTTAAGCTGAGAAGGGACCTTAGAGAACATCTGGTCCAATCCTGTCATCTTTTAGAAACAGCCCAGGGAGATTAAGCAACTTGCCTAAGATTACACACAATAAGTAATAGAGCCCACTTTGAAGATAACTCTGATTTTAATGTTCCAAAACAATAGTGTTGCTTCCTTGTAGAACTAGAATATGTACATTGCATCAATGTACAATTTTAGGCCAGTTGTTCTTGTAAAGTTTTTTTTAAAATTATATATGCTTCATTAGATATTTATTATACTTTTGTGCTTTGCTTGTTTTTTTCTAACATACTGTCTCAAAGGACAGTTAGTGAATTTGGTTGTAATCTTTAAAGTCAGTAATTTCCATGAGTCATTTCCAAGGTGTATATGTCTGACTTACATCTACATGTATCTACACACCCACATGCTAGTGCTTTCTGTCTTTAGATTAACTCCTAATTTATCCTGACTGTATCTTCTTTGTACATAGTTGTTTGCATATTGTCTTACCTATTAAATTGTGAGCTCTTTGAGGGTAGGGTTTACTTTTTGCCTCCTTTGTATCCCCAGGCCTTAGTATAGTGATCGACACATACTAACTGCTTTATAAATGCTTGTTGATTTGATACATAGAAAAAACAAGCATTATAATCTTGCCGAAACCATTAGTATTTGAGAGTGAACCATATTAAGGAAACAACTCTTATTGTACTCTTATAGGTTTGTCTGAAGTTCTACTGTCTACCTTTCTACCTCACTCAGTGTTTAATTAAGTCTGTCTCTCCCTCCTTCTCTTTCCTTCTCTCTTTCTTCCTGTCTCTTTTTCTGCCTTTCCCTCTGTTTCTTTGTGTCTCAGTTTCAATGTCTCATTTTATGTAGTTGTAACTAGTAAGTTTAACTATTGTGGTGCTTTTCATCCTACTTTGCATCATCTAAGTCCAAGCGCTGACAGCAACTGGACTATAGCAAAAGGGCACCAGATACAGGGAATTTTTTTTGGCCTCATTAAGTTATGTTTATAGATGACAGCCTTCATTTTCTCCATTAGTAATTTTAAAATTATGCAATGGGTATACTAGAACTTGGGCGTCCCTTGTGAAATTCTATCCAGAGTGAAAAATAAAAGTATTTAATCCTCTCTTAAGCCAAGGGTTTTTAACCCCAGGATTTTTTTTGTTGGGTTTAAGAGTTGGAGTGAGTGAGTGTGTGTGTGTGTGTGTGTGTGTGTGTGTGTTTATTTTCTAACTACTAAATCTAGATGATTCAGTTGTTGTAGATTAGGCTTTTTTTTTTGAAGCAGTTTGTTATTGTTTAGTGTTCCAAAAAATTAACTGATACGATTTCTTTCAGTCAGTGGCTAACTAAAAATTTATCTGAAGATATAGTCATTGTCATCAAAGAGTGTGATCATCCGCGAAAATGAATGCTAATAACTTAAGGAGCTATGTCCTTCATTCACATGGAAAAGATCTATCATATAATGAATTACATTCTTAACAACACCACTAAATAAATATGTGATCTGCAACTCCAGAACTACTAAAATGTTGTTTCTAATTGTTACTGAATTGTTCAGGTTTCTTCTCTTCCTCCCTCAATCCCCTCACAGTCTACTACTTTCTTTTTACAAACTTTGTTTTATTTATTATACTTCATTGTTTAAACTTTTGTTATATATGTGGTATTTCCTTTAACATCCATATGTATAAATAGACTGATATTGGGCTTTGTTTTTATTCTGTGACCCACAACCTAGAGCATGGACATAATCACTTGTACCAACATAGAATTTTATAGGAACAGTTCCCTGGAGATTATTCAGACCTGTGTTCAGTTGTTCCATTTTATCTGACTGTAAGTGACCCAATGGTATTCAGACCTGCTCTCTCATTTTTCAGTTGAGAAAGCTGGCTCAGAGTGGGCAGAGCTAGTTAGTTGGATGCAGAACTAGGAGTAGATCACAAATTTCCTGACTCCTTTATTAATTGTTCTTAGTATATTACACTTAGAGGCTGCCTAGCTAGTGAATGAGTAGAATACTATACTCAGGGCCTGGAAAATTAACCTCGTGACATTTACTTGCCATTTGACCCTGGACAAGTCACTTAAATTCTTTATGTAGATGGCCACTTCCTAGGACCCGTCTACTAAGTCATGGGCAGGCTTCAATCTATGTTAGTGCAGGGAGTTCCCACATAGCTGTTCTTTTATGCTAATAAAATCACAGATCCTTTGTGTATAGTGTTATGCTGCCTCAGTATTTCATACAATTAAAATTGAAGAGTTATGATTTTGCATTAAAATTTTAAATAATATTCTGACATAACTCTTCTCAAAGAATAGAAATGCCATAAATATCCTAAGGAGTGTGTCCCCTCATGTGGAAAAACTGCATGATAGGTACCTGCAGTAATTCTTTAGTCATATTAATGTCCTTAAAAATCAGTGACTAGTAGGTTACTCTCTTTATCTAGGTGAATGTAGTTAAGAGCTTGTGACTGCAATTGTTCCTGGGTAAATATGACATTTAAAAAGGTGGGATGGTTTGTGATCTATTGTTTTTTCAACAAGAAATGCTATAAAGTTACAAATAAATGTTATAAGATATCTTCTTTTGTGTATAGGTTCGAGACTCAGCAATAAACAGCTTAGTGGAAATTTACAGACATGTAGGAGAACGTGTGAGGGCAGATCTCAGTAAAAAAGGATTGCCACAGTCTCGGTGAGTTCTTCTACACTCTTCTATTTTTAGTGCTTCTCCCCCCCCCATACTTTTCTTCCAGTTAACTTTTCTTCTTATAGTATTTTTAGAAGTAAATTCAGGATAAAACTAGCATTTTTTTTTCTGTCTACATAACTTCTCTTGCACCAGTCTGCTTCTCACCCACCCTAGTTGAAACCCCTATTACCTTTTGCCAGGACTATTACAACAGCTTCCTGATGGGCCATCTGGACTTAAGTTTCTGCCTTCTCCAAACCATCCTACAGGCAACAGCCAAAAATGGTTTTCTTCCCTAATATGTGTGTCTGACCATGTCATTCTCCTCCTCAATAAACTTCAGTGATTCCCTTTTGCCTTTAGGATCAAACATAAACTTGTTTGGTTTTTAAAACCTTTTATAGCAGCCTCAGACTGCCTTTCCAACTTTCCCCTCGCCATTGCTCATTTTCCATGCTCTTTGGCCAAGCCCAGCTGGCTTTCTTATGGTTCCTCACATATGATACTCCACAGCTTTTGGCTGTCATGCATGCCTTGGAATGTCTTCTTCCTCAACTCTTAAAATCCCTTATTTCCTTCAAAATTCTGTTCAGATGCTTTCTACATGAAGTCTTCCATGATTGCCCTTAGCTGCTAGTGCCCTCCTCTTATCAATTTAATTTGTTTTTATTTCGTATATATTTATTTATGTACATGTTGTTTCCCTCAAAAGAACATTAATTCCTTAAGGGCAAAGAACATTTCTTTCATTTTATCTCTCTCCTGAGCCCCTAGCAAAATGACTAGCATATCAGTGCTTAATAAATGCTTGTTAATTGTTTAAAATTAATGTTTAATTCTGGAAAACTTCTATTAAATGGGCTTTTCTGGAATCCTGGGAGATGGAATTCAGTACCAACATGGTGTTATAGTACAAAAACCTCTTTTTTGTATCCACAATGCTTAACACAGTGCTTGGAACATAGTAGGTACTTAAGAAATCTTTATTGATTTATTGATTTAATAGTGATAATTCCCATGTTATCAGACCCTTCACAAAAATCTGTGCCAGTTATAAAAATAATGAATTGTATTTGTATAAATTTTTGCAATGATGGAAATTATGACATCTGTAGAATCTCAAGCCATTTTGCTTACCTCCAGCCTGGTCTGAGTGAAGTCAGGGCAAAATGAGAAAGACTCTTAGAGCTAGGAAAGACTTAAAAGATCTTATTCAGCTTCTGAATTTTATGGTCAGGACACTAAGGCTCAGAGAGGCTCTGTGACCTTCCTAATTCCCACACGGCTGGTGAGGAACAGAACTGAGCCGAGGACATTCCTTTCTGTGTTCCGTCAGGCCCAGCCCCTTTCCTCTCATTCTTCTATCTGCCTTGTCAAAAATAATATGGCATCAGTAGAGATAATCTGGGTCTAGCAGCACTGTTCACATACCGGGAGCTGGAGTGAATTGTAGACGTTCTTTAGTTTCTTCACTTTACAGATGGTGAAGCTGAGGCCCAAAGACTAGACTTACCTCAGATCACACAAATAGTAGGTGACAGAACCAGAATTTAAACCCAGTTGCTTGGCTCCTTTTCTCTACGTCAAGGTTAATCCTTGGCTTGTTATCACCATTGACATTATTCAAGCAGATGTGCCGAAAGAGGGTCATTGGACTCTCCAGTAAGAGACTTTATGAAATATATTTTCTGAGTTATATTATGGCCCCATCCCCTAAATCCCAAGAACATTTTTTAAACAGCCAGCTTACAGAATAATTTTCAGAGTTCATGATATTATTTGAAATAGAAGTACAAGAAATTACATGGATCCATTAATAGCTATGGTATGTTTCCTAAGTCCCTAGAAATGGAGGATTATCTTCAAGAAGGGGGTGGGTTGGTTTTCATATTTCATTGACAGAGGAGTAGAGCTTTGTAACTTATCCTTTTCATATAACAAATGAAGAAACAGGGACCCATAGAGATTAAGGGACTTGTCTAGGCTTACACAAATAGTGGGTAGCCGAGCAGAGGATGACTAACTTGGATCCCGTACCTCCAGATCTGCTTCCCTTGGAGAAGTGAGCTGCGCTTTCTTTGAAAGCCTTCAAGCCAGTGGAAGAACCTGGTTTATTGTTGTTGTTGTTGTTGTTGTTGTTTTTCCTTGTCATTGAGAGAGGTTTCCCAGTGCCTTGGACTCTGGCAGCTTACTTTCTGCTTCATTCACCAAACAGTATGTGGCCTGTCATGTTTCATACCATTGTTTTAGAAGTTAAGTTTCTGTTATATTTGGCTGTGAGTGGCCAGCTTGAGTATTTAAATATTCTGGAATTCTAATGCATCATATTAGAATTTTTTGTTGTTGTGTGAGCACAGTAGACTTTTCAGTTTAGTTTTTACGTTTCCCTGACTATTTATTTGGGCCAGCTGGATAATGAGGGATGAGACAACAAAGTGAGTTTGAAGGTAGGGAAGGATGCTTTTGATGGATGATCAGAGAAGAAAGTCTCCAATTTGGAATGATTTGAGGGAGACGTTAATTTCACTTCTTTGTTAGTACTCTATTAGTGCTTCTCCTTTTCTGTCTTTGTCTTCATCTTTTCTTTTTTTTTCTCTTCATCTTTAATGATACTACTAGTAAGCAGCTATTTTTACTTCATTTTATTGTACTTCACAATTTCTTTCTCTTGAAGGATTTTCTTGTAAATAGTTACTAAAATAGGTTTCAGAATACTGTTCTGTGAAATCATATTGAAACAGTGAAAAGACAGTCTCCTTAATCTTAGATTTGAATGAACTTAAATATATCTTTAGGAAAGTTTTTAGGTCTTAGCATGGTTTCTTAATCACTTTCTTACCTTCCTTTATGGGGAAAACAACATAGTTTTTCAGTCTTGTGTGAAAAAAAAAGTATACAAAATCAGAACTGAAGAACTAAGAACTAAAAATCTGTGAAACATCAGTCTGCCTAAGGATAGAGGCTTTATACACTCTCATTTTTATCTGTATCAGTAGAGAGGGAGATTTATCGTGAGAGCCTATAACTCTTCATGAGAGAAGAGGAGACATAATTTACATTTCTCAGGTGAGCATTGAAGGAACCATGTGGTATATTTTGTCTATATTAGTAGAATTTGATTCCGGTATTGTAATTCTGGGGGAGAAGCTGAATAGCTACTGTGTAACATCTAATCCCTCAGTGAAATAATTATCATCTGTCATTCTGTTGCATTTACAAAGAATTTGCACTGGAATAATTTTTTTCTGTAGTAAATAAACTGGATAACTTCATTTAATGGCATTGTTGAAGATAGAATTCTATTGCTGAGGTGGGAAACATAATGCTCAATTTTATGGTAGGGGTCATGCCAATTTAGTAACTTCTGACTAGAAAATCTGAAGTCCAAATATTGTCAGGCACCTATTGAAAACACTTCTATAGCACTTATTGTCTGTGTCATTCCTGCTGTACTCATGCGTTGCTGTCTTGTATTATCTTTTCCTATATGTTTGGCTTGTCTCCTCAACCTACCTGTGATTTTCTTCCGGGTAGTCTTGTCTCTGTGGCACCAGCATAGTGCTGTGAGCCCTCAGTGGGTACCCATCAATGCAGCCTCTTCATTATTGTGGGACCTGGCTAATTTGTTCCTGTCTCCCTTTCCCACTCCTACCTGAGAGTGCACAGGTTGAGTTTATAACTGAAGTACAGCTACAACACTGAATCAACGGCGTAAATGCATCTAAAATGATATTGCTGGAGAAAAGTGCTGGTTGTCTCAGATTGTTTTCACAGTTCTTTTGGTGCAACACCTTAAATTATGTCATGTGTAATTAGGGACTTGGTTAAACATTTGCTAGAAACAACAAAAATGGTTTATAATGTAATGTCATATAATTGTGTTTCGTGTATATATACAATTGCTTGACCACTCCTATTAAGTTAAGTAGGTTTGGTGTGACATTGGTGTGAAGAGGTCATCTGCTAGCAAGGTGAAATGGGAAGAGCCCTGGGTTTGAATCCTAGTCCTTCCACTTACTTCGAGGGTGACCTTGGGGAAAATCACTTCCCCCCACTGGGCCTCAGTTTTCTTCTCAATCAAATGAAGGGGTTAGATGAGAGACGTCTTTAAGGCTCCTTACCACTCTTATTCTGTGATCCTGTGATCACACGAGTATTGTAAAGGCCATTTTCCGTTTTCAGGCCTGTGCTTTGATCACTTATTCATTGATTTAACAGTCATTTTTATTAAGTTCCTGTTATCCTATGTGTCAGGTAGTCATGATACAAAGAAAGAGACAAAGTCCCTTATCTTTAGATCATCTAGGAGGAAACATACATAAAAATAAGTCAATACAACATAAATACAAAGTGTGCACGAAGTTAATTTGGGGGGAGATGGCACTAATTACTGGAAATGGAGTATTTTAGTAATTCTCAGTTTGGGCTATTTAATTTTAGTTTTTCTAGATGTGGTTGAAGTGCCTTGTTATGGCAAGCAGAACACATAAGAAACTATACACATTATTTTATTTTTTGGTATTTTGTGGCACTTGAATATTTTTATACAGAGATCTTTGCTGTTTAGTGTTAAAGGCTATAATAGGATTCAACTGGTAATTTTGATAATAATGTCAGGGAAATACAGGAATAGGTAGTAATAATCCCATTTTAGAAATGGGTAAATTTAGCTTTAATGAACTTGTGACTCACCCCTAGATCAATCAACTTTTCTTTGGAGGAGCTGGAATGAAGGATCTAAGCATCCTGATTTTGGTTAGAATGTCAAGATCTCTAGTTAACTGTCCTTATCTTTCAGAAGGATGAGTTGAGTTTAGCCTAATGGGTGAGATTAAAATGGGAGATAACTTACCAAAACCTTTCTCTGGGTTGAGGTCTTCTACATGGAATATGAGTGATTCAGCACATGGACTTCAGGTTAACAACCAGTGAATTAGACCAATTTATGATGTGGGTATTTTTAAATAGAGCTTTTGATATAGAGGAGTTGTTTAAAAAATATC